AACTGATTTAATCGTTGTTAGTAATCGGTTTACCTAGTCTTAGAGACTAGGTGTACGCATGCGGTAGGTTTTTGGATCGTGACAACAAGAGTTCCACAAATACTTTGAGAAAATCCAGTGATAGAACTTGAGAATATGAGAGAAGAAGGTGAATGAGAAAGAGCACTGAAACGGGAACTAAAAGAATGAGAAAATTCAGTGATAGAATTTGAGAATATGAGAGAAGAAGGTGAATGAGAGAAAACGGGAACTAAAAGAATGAGACTTTTAGTGGGACGCGGTGTTTCTTTTTCACGACTGAAAGACAGCTTAAGTATTTAGCCCTAAAAAAATTTATATTCACGAAAATGCCCTTCATCGTTCAAGAGCACCTTCACTTATTATATACTACAGTTAAACTAGCTGTATAAACTAGGTCAGTTTTTACACTTCTCACGTAAGATATCACTAATAAAATGTCCTATATTATCAAAAATATAGTTGGATACAAACGCAACTGTAAATTGAAGGGCAAATAAGGAGCTATCAGTATCAGGTATACTAAACCACATTTATAATGTGTTCTTTATAAAGACAAAATAATTGATGAATAAAAACTTTTTATAGAGGACCATAGCTCTTTTTCTTTTGGTCGTATCCCTTTTTTATTTTTCTATATAGTTAAAAGTAAGTACTATTATTTTTCCTTCTGTCTTTTTCTTTATTTTCTAATGCAGTGTATATATCTTTATGGTACAATAATGTGTGGTGGCCAAAACCTTTAAATAGTGATAAAAACGTGTATTTACTAACCAACAAAAAAAAGTGTACGGTGGCTGTTGATAAAAACGTGTATTTACAAACAATAAAAAAAGGATAATTTTTTTTATTTTATGTATATTTACTATACGTTGACTCTCCTTAATTTTTCGATATATCTAATTATTTATATTTTGACACCTCTTAATGAAAATTCTGGCTCCGCCACTAATTTCAGCCCCTGCACGGTGGTTGTTGAAAGAATAAATAACTCACGTAAATGAGGTACTAACTCACTATAAATATCCTGTGGAATCAATGAGTTTTAAAACAATACAATTTGGATTTTCTTTCTTTGTATTTTTCAAAGCAAAGACAATGGAAGGGAAGACTATGTTCAAGTTATCTCATGTGGTTGCTTTCTTGCTCCTTGCATCACGTAAGTTGGCCTTTTCTCATGCACATTTCTACTTATTTTTATTTGAACATTTATTTCAAATATTCAAAAACATAACTTATTACCTATGTTATCTTTCAAATAAGTAGTAGTAATTATTTTTGTGAAAGATTTATTAATTTGAATTACAGTTTTTCAACCTCTTACGGCACGAGATCTGGTATTCGAAGTGAGTGATGGAATAGAAGTCTTGCAATTTCCAATGGCAAAAGAAAACCAAGTGAAAACACTTGATGATGTCTCTCTCTCATTTATTTGCCCAGGTTTGCTCTCTACTCTTTCTTCTTCTTATAGTTTTTAATAACAATAATAACTATTTTTCGGTCTAAAACAATCTGGTGTCGGTTATATAAATCGTCATTGACAATGTTACATTAATTAATTAGACTTATCTCATTCCAATAGTATATATCTACACACAAATAGTATTATTCCCTATTTTCAAAGCTATTGTATTTTTTTAAGTTATTAGTAAAGATTTAAATTATATATACTTATAGTGTAAAGATTTTTTGCATTATCAATATAGGTTAACATGTGACAGAAAGTTAGTTATCAACTTTAATAGGTTGACGCTTATTAATGTTTATTATATATAGAGATTCACTTGTACTTATTTTACAAGTGACTAATTGATTGTTCAATAATTTTTTTCATCTGTTAGTACAACGTAAACTCTCTTAATAATATTTTAAAATAAAACACGAGCTAGGAAAAAGAGTAGTTTATGTTATTTTTGTGGGGTGGGAGAATATAAAATAATGTAAAAGGCCTTTGTGTTAATTATTCCATAGAGATCTTAAATTTCCATGATGTTTACGTACTTATAGTTTATGTATAATGTTTTTTTATGAGTATTATTATAGTGTCATGTACTATATATTCTTTTTAATTTCTTTTGTTTCATTATATTTTATTAATTATAGGAAAGCAATCATGGCCTGAGCTTGTGGGAAAGCCAGCGGAGACTGCTAAGAAAATAATTGAGAAAGAAAATCCCATAGCCAAAGTTCAGTTTTTGTTCACTGGTATGGTTAAACCATTGAATTATGTTTGTGGTCGAGTTTTTGTGGTTGTTAACTGGAAACTCATTGTTCAAATTACTCCCACAATGGGTTAATTAAATAGTTCTATGGGACTATTATGGTAGATTTAGAATAAGCTGCCCCAAGAATTAATAAATAGAGTACTGGTGTTCTATAGTGTACTCTACTATTTCGATATAATAAATAAAATAAGTGTGGCTTTTTTAATTTGTATTATGCATGTATTACAATTATCTTGCCTCATTCTCTTTTATGTTGTAACTTTTTCCAGTTTTGCTTTTCTTTTCGTTTGTTATGCAATTTGACGTACACAGCTCCGCCTGCTAGAATGTTGAAGACGTTATTATTTTAACATCTCTTACTTAAAATTTTAAATTCTTAAACGAGATGATCATATAATTCAAAAATATTGTAGATTATAGGCAAAGTCCAGAGTTCTGCGGCTCCGCACCTACGGCCCAATTCTCGCAGGTGCGGTTATGACAGCAACCAGCACTTCAGCCTTCTTCCAAACTCCAAATTCAATCCGTTAACCACCCGGAATCCACCCAAGGCCCCCGGGACCTCAACCAAACTTACCAACCAATCCCAAAACACGTTACGGACTTGCTCGAGGCCTCAAATTATATCTGGCACGACCCGAATTTCCCACCCTCGGGGGTCGTGATGGCGCCTACTCGTAGGAGCTAGGCAAGCCAAATTTAATTACCTTTCGTTAACAGCATAATTCCTTCTTGACAATTATTGGCAATAATATGAAAGCAACGAGATTAAATAATAAGCGGAAGTCTTAGCATTATATAAAACTGAATAGAAATGCGAAAAGTTCAACAAAATCCTCTACCCAAGACTGGTGCCACTGTACTCACGAACTGCTAAGAATACTAAATACAAACGTCTGAAAGAAAACACAAACTGTTTGTCTCGAATACAATGAGATAACAGACTAAAAAGAGAGGATAAGGAAGACACCGGGCCTGCGGACGCCTGCAAGGCTACCTCGGGTCTCGCTGGACTGAAAGCCTGCTCTCACACTACTGTTGCTGCTGCTGACCAAGACCTGGATCTGTGCAAAAGAGCACAGAGCGTAGTATTAGCACAACCGACCCCATGTGCTGGTAAGTGTCTGGCCTAACCCCGGCGAGGTAGTGACGAGGCTAGGACCAGACTCCAGATAAAACCTGTGCAGATATATATATACAAGTACCACAGAGAAAAATAGCAAGAAGATAGCAATTTAAGCTGGGGAATGGAGCATGCTTAGGGGCAACAGATAGAAATAACTTATCAGGAAAAATAGAGCGTACATCTACAGTTTCACTTCTAGCAAAAATGAAGAGATAAGACAACTTTCATATTCAACTCATCCTGTTGCAGGCGTGCAACCCGATCCCATTTCTCCATATCTCGTGGTAGGCGTACCACCCGCTCTCATTTCAATATCACTTGTGGTAGGCGTACCACCTGCTTCCATTTAAATTCTTAAGTAATTAAATCAGTCATGCAAACAAAATGTTAAGACCCCTGGTACTGTTACCATGCTCATATGAATGTATTAAACTATCTCATTTCTTAACAACGCAAACTGAATTTTTTTTAAGCAACGTGAACTGGTATAGTAAGGTTAGATTTCTGAATGGAAAAAAGGACCATCAAACGATAGCAATAGATACAGGTGGCAAAATAGTTAAAAGAAAACAGTTATCCACCAAATTATCCATTAAAAATGGATTGGATAATGAACTATTTAAAAACGGGTCGAATATGGATAATAATCGTATTATCCACTTCGAAAATGGATAACTAATGTGTTTAACTTTTACATTTGTAAAGTCTCAAATTGGGGTTCCTCAAGTTTGGAAGACTAGAAATTCTCCCATAAGTGATCATATTCAAGAAGCCAGGGATTACATGGATATTATCCGCCGGATAACTCGTTTTATCCGTCTCAAATGCGGGTCGGATCGAATAATTTTTCCATTTTTTTAATTACCCATTTTCGACCCGCCCCTTTGCCACCCCTAGCAATAGATATGAATCATATGATGAATCATTTTAATTTTGACAAGTCGAATTGCAGATTTAACCTTCACATCTCTTGTGAATGTCCCTCTTGCTAACCATATATTTAGCTGTATGTAAAATTTTAACTCTAAGCTTTTGTCCTAAAAAAATGCATAAACTAGCATCATAGAACAGTCCAATCACACTCAGTTTCTTTCTTTGTCTCATAGTCTTGAAACTCCTTCAACCAGAATAGTACCAATGTGACAACCACTTCCCAATCAAAATGACAAAATATTAAAGATGATGAAACACTGCTGCGGATCTAAAGGTCGGATCCTCAGCGATGTAACTCTAAGATTCGGGGATAGGGATCCTAATACAAATACGGGTGGGGGGATCCGTCTAAAAATAATTCAAAAAATAAAAAATATAAAAATATCCCTAAATTATGAGAAATTTTGTCGAATACTTACGTACAGCTTGTAAAGTGTAGATTTTTTTTATATCTCAAGTTGTAGATAAGTAAAGGAGTGCTTTCCTAGATAAGTTATGATATTTTCTTCAAATTTACCCTAGTTTTGGTTCTGATTTCGTGAATCAAATTGTATCTCGTCTCGAATTTTTCTATCCGTCGTGGTCAAAGTATCCAAAATTATTTGACCAGATCCGATACAGATCCCATACCCACACTCATACTAGTATCGTGTCGACACGGGTGCAGCACCTAAAATGCTATGTCGGAGCAACTTAGATCATAACAACACAGAGAAAGAACTAATTACCAGACATCAGCACTAATGAAATGCCAAAATTCTTAAAACATCAAAATTCCCAGATTAGCTTGATGTCAAAGCCACATTTCTACAAAAGATTAAAAAGGAAACCAAAAAAGGCAGAATCACTTCAGACCTAAAGACCATAGAGATAACACTTAGACCAGTAGACATCCCAATTTTCACTCACTCAAGTGAAATGGCCATTCAGATGGTATGAACCATTTCTCAAATTCTGAAAGCCTGAGTTTGGCATCGAAGTCTTTCCAATTCCATGCTCATCATATAGCAAGTTGTTTATGATGTCAAGATGTGGGAATTCATTGGCAAATTCAGAGGGAATGTGATCAGGGGTTCTGTAGTTTAAAGGCTTGAACATATCAAAATTCCTATTCTCATTTCGTAAAGAAGGATGATCTATCGATGTATTCCTACTTCTGTCCCTCCAGGAATACTCCCATTGCTGTCCATTCTGCACGGTATCATGATTCACCATTTCATATGAATAGCTTGGTCTAATTAGACTAGGTTCTATTCTTTCTAAGCCCTGTGGTAAACATACCTGGCCAGAGATCGGTAAAGGTAGTTGAGGATATGAATCTGAAGAGTTAACCACTGAACTAGGAGAATAGCTATGACTGTAATTATGCTGGTATTGCTGAGAAATCTGGGATTGCTTGTGTATATAGCGGCTACAGCTATTATTTCTCGGTTCAATATGTGACCCAATGCCGGCCATCTGTCGGTGGTTGATGACTTCGTTCCTGTGAAAATTTATGTGGCAATTACAAGCTTCACATTTTAAGGCTCCTGGGGTCCCTTCTCTTCCACTTGGCATGAATTCTCCACATCCGTCGATAGCATGCCCTCCCATACTTGCAGCATGATTCTTGAGACATTCCCCGTATTGGATTGAGCTTGTAGTGTTACTTACTGAGGTTGTTAATAGTGATTGTAGTTGTGTTGGCCCGGCAATCATATTTGGTTCTTGATCCAAGTGCGTATCCCTGTCTACTTTATACGAATTGAGCTGGTTATGCCGCTGAGCAAGACTGTGCTGATGCGACGCTTGGCTTGGGCTGGGAAAGATGCTTCCACTGCCAGCTTGTTCGCTTCTTCCTAAAATATGACTGCCCACAATTTCATTCGGATAAGACTGAGGAACATAAGTGTCTATGGCTGTTGAAGGGTCAGCGCATAACTGAGCAGCTGGACTCACTGAATGAGCCAATAATGGTAACGTTGGGAGCAGTGGCATGGGCATTTCAGCTGTAGCAGAGGCAGTCACTTGATTAGACGGGAATTTCTCAGTTGTAATAGAAACTGACTGAACTAAAGGCTTCTCCATGGCTTTTGGTTCTACGGCTTTATGAGGATCAACATTCAATAACACAGCAGTTTCAGCTGAATTAAACAAGGGAACTGATTTCTGAGACAGGTTGGAGTTATCTGAGGTCGATCTCTTAACCGAGTTAGGATCATTTGTGACTGAGACCTTCAACTTGGACATCGACTGAGTGGCCGAGCCTATACTTCTTGGAGGGTTTCTAGGAGGAGAACTTACACTTTGGCATCTCCAAGGAGTGTCTTTCTCTATCCGCCTCAGTCAGCTCGCCATGATGTGAAACTGCTACGTCCTGCATACAATAAAAAAACAATGCCATATAAGAATGACATATACATAATCATGGCGTCCACACAAAAGAACTTTCTCCCTCTAACTTTGTAAATCGCAAAGGCTTAATGTACACATACACTAAGGAAGAACAAGCATGCGTCCCAGCAAAATACATGGTCGCTCTCCAATATATCAGGATATAGTATTCCTCGCATGAATATAAAGATGAACAGGAGACTAAACTTGCCACAGATTCTATCTTTCCTTACATTTCGTTTTTGTCCAATCTATACACCAACATAAAGGAAATGACAAAAAGAAAGGAACAGGGTAAAAGCTTTTTAATAAAACAAATGTTTTAGGTGCCACGACTATATCTAGGACGAATTTTAGTGGATCCACAGAAGATAAATTGATGACGGATAAGGAGGTGCAGTTACCCCAAGAATGAACGAAATGATTTAAAATTCAATTCTGCTTCTATTAATGCATCCTTTCTACACATTCTCCCAATGAATATCGTGTTTCTGCATAAGCAGTTTTTATATCAAGCTCAATGATGAAAAATATATAAAAGTTATAGCTAGGAAGTAGGTCAGCAGCATACGCAATTGTCGAACACCGCACATAAATTACACTATGATGCCAATAATTAAAACTAAGCACATTTTTCAAACCAAAGATATTTATAGAGCTCAGACGTGAAGAACTCCTTAGTCTGGCATTTCCCATAACTGCGCTTCACCCAAAAAGAATTCCAAGCAACAACAACAGCAACAACAAACCCAGTATAATCCCACAAGTGGGGTATGGGAGGGTAGTTTGTACGCAGACCTTACCCCTTGCCCCTGCCTAGAAAGTAGAGAGGTTGTTTCCGATAGACAAAAAGAATTCCAAGCAAGGAAAAATATTGTTCCTTTTAGCCAAAAGATAAATAGCTGATAAACGAACTCAATTTTAGTATCTAACTATTCATTGTGCTTGAGGCGTACACAAATGTAAGAACTGCAGCACTTTAATGGAAAAAAGTAGCACATAGTCCATGTGATAACTCAGCAATGTATAACAGAGGCAACATAAAGATGTAGTAAGTAATCTACTTGACAAAACCTCCTGCAAAACACTATCTCAGTATCCTCACTTACATATATGGGATAAACTATAAATATAAATTATTTTGATATCATATCTACGCAAAATCAAATACCATAGACTATGCAAAAAACAAAGGCTAAAGCTTTTATGGTAGGAGCCACAGTTGTTAAAGTGCTTCCCATTAGAAGAGGTGCCATGATAAATTACGTAGAGGTACCCAAACTGGATTTAAAGCACTCACTACTTCATGATGGATATCTCGCGACCACCAGTAAATCTGCATCACAGCGCCAGCAACAGTGAGCGTTTTCTTGGACAAAACAGTGTCATAATCTGCTTCATTGGTGAAATCAAGAGATACTTGTTGAGAAGTGTAATGCGTAATCTTCACTTGGCCTTTCAGAGGGTTCTTTGCAATGAAATCAGCTCGGATTTCTTTCATTCGTGGCTTCCTTTGGAAGAAATTCCCAATCAAAGTGAGTCTACAATCGGGAACTAAGCTTTCCCAGTAGTTTTCTGGGAAGGTTACTGCCTGGCGTCCCGTATAGGTTGAATATTGCACTTGAATCGGAGGTCTTGATTTCCGATCCTCAAGGTATTCACCTATTGGAAGAGCATCTAATGGCTGATTAAGTTTTTCACTGGCCCAATCAGCTGCATTACTAGTTGACTTGCTTCCATATTTCCACCCTCTAAAAAGTTGAAGCACCAGGAATTAAAACTATCACAGAGACACAGACATTCTCAAAAGATATCCAAATAGATGCCAAACAATAAGTGGCAGAAATTTTTTACCTGCCATACAACTTTTGGCTGTTATTGTTTGAATAAGTCCCTCTGAAAGACATTGAGTCTGTGGAACACACCGATGAACTATCATCCATAACAGATGGAATTCTTCCTGCAATCCCATCGGAAGCAAATGAAAGGCCACTTGACCCACTGTGACTAGTTTCCGTAGAAGCTTGTATTTCAGAGGTTTCAGTACTGCAATTGACAGGACTTCCGACTCTTTCCTCGGAATCAGAACGTGTTGCTTCTGGGACACAATCTACTGAATCAGAAATATACAAACCATCTTCCAATATGTGTGTGTTTTTAGGTGCTGCTTCTGACTCCTTACTCCCGTACTCATTTCCACCACCAACATGCTCATTCTTATCTAGCTCCATAATGCCAAGTGTTTCATCCCTGCCTTCTACTTTAGCTGTGTGATTATCCGGTTTCATTTTTGTCTGCATTACAAGGTAACCATGAAAGACTACATCAAAACACTATTCCAAAACAAGCACTTCCTTCAGAAGGCAAAAAGGATAAGAATTTTCACTTCTTGGAACTCAACAGAAAATTGTCAACTAAGAGCTTCCGCACACACTATTTGACAAAGACTACAACTTAGATCACAAAAGAAAGCAAAAGCTAGGCAGTACAATAGCAGTATATGCAATTGTCTAATACAGCACAGAAACTACACTAATGATGCCATTAACTAAAAGCCAGGACCCCAATTTTCAATCCAAAGATAGTGCAACAATGGTAAATACGAAAGTTCAGACATAAAGAGTTCCTTGTCAGCATCTCCTAAAATTGCAATTTAACATTTCCAAGCAAAGGCTATAATTGCTCTTTATCTTTAAAATTTTAAATGCTGATAACAACCCCAACACTTATCAGTTTAACAAAGTAATTCACAGTCCATATGAAAACTTATCAACATGTAACAGGAAACAGATACAAAGTAAGGATATACATAAGAATTAACTTTCTTGACAAAGCATCCTGCTAAACAATGTTCACTTACACAGACTACTCAATCCTTGATCACTTTCAAGGATTCCTTGATCATAAAACTACTGTTACCGGCGCCATCGTCCTATGCCAACCCTCTTCCCAGACCCCCTCGTTTATCCAAACTTGAGACCGACTATATATTGTGACACTCGCATAGAGTTCCTTAAAATAAAATCACTCAGGCAATCAACCAGGTTTCGTGCAAATTAACCGGCGTAAACTATATATATCAGGATTCATTCATAAAAGTTTTTTTGCACGTGGTGTCGACTTACCCAACCCTCCTCCTTTACCCTTACTTGGAGACGGCCAGACAGCTATACTCTACCCTTCCTTGTTTTTTTTTTTTTTTTTGTGAAGGCGGTGTCTGGCCCCAGCTTGCGCGCGCCTCGATTATTTCATCGGGTACCTTCTACCTCCCGCCAGTACAAGTATCGGATAACTCTGGTCCGGCTTAAGCAGATCGGGAAAAATCACTTAGTGTTTTTTTGTGCCTCTAGTGTACTTTTACCTTGCTTAAAACAAATGCTCTAATAATTGCAGCCAAGGATGTGACCTGATAGTCAATTAAGTGGGAAGAGAACCAGGACGTCTCGCGTTTAAATCTCAGTGGAGGAGGTGATTTCTTCTCGTCTACCTAAGTCTTGGTGGACAGAGTTACTTGGTACCTACATTGATGGGAGGCAACAGGTACCAAGATTCTTGAGCCGAGAGTCTTTCATAAACAGCCTCTCTACCTTCGTAAGGTAGGAGTAAGATTTGCGTACACCCCAAGACCCCACTTGTGGGATTTAACTGGGTTTGCTATTGTTATTGTTGTTGTTGTTGCAACGGGTACCAAGATGTTCACAAACTGGCCCGGACACTACCATTATATTTACAAAAGAAGAAAAAACTCTTTTCTAAGTATGGAAACAATTAAACTATTTCACTTTACCCTTAGTGACAATCTTTTATAGCGACACAAAAATTATTGAGATCGGAGAGAGTAATAACTATCTAATCAAACACTATCAGAGTACTCACAAATGGACCGTGAAATTCTGGGGTCCACCGGAAAACCTCCATTTGGGCACCAGCAACAATGATCATTTCCTTGAACAAAATAGCATCATAATCCTCTTCATTAGTAAAATCAAGAAATACATGTAGAGAATCGTAAGATGCAATCTTCACATGGTCTTTCAAAGGGTATTTTGCACTAAAACTAGCTCGGATTGCTGTCATTTTTGGCTTTCTGTTAAAGAACTTTCCAACCAGTGTAAGTCTACATTTGGCGGCTGCTGCATCCCAATACTCTTTTGAAAAGATTACTGCTGGACATCCCATGTAAGTTGTATACCTAACATATGGTTTTGGTTTCTGATTTTCACTGTCAATAATATCAACTTTGGGTGCTGCCATTGTTGCTAAAGAACCGAGTTAGCCGTTTGAGTGGGAAGAGAGAGCGCACTGCTTTATTAGTAGTAATGTCTTTGGGACTGCTGTCATTATGGGCCGGTTAAGTTAAAGAAAAAAAATGAGAATACTCTCACATCATAGTTTTTTTATTTTTAAAATTCGAACTCGAAACCTGATTAAGAATAGAAGAATCTTATTTATCTTACCATAACTCTTAATGTTAAATACTTATAAATTGTTATAAAATAATAAAAGAAGAAGAACACTATTGTAGAGAAAAGTAGAGAGAGAATTCTTATTGAATTTTGGTATGATTTACAATGGAATAGAACCCTCTATTTATAGGGAGAGGTTGACTTAGCCACCAAGTAATAAACCCTAGAATCTCTCTAAATATGGACATTCACCATAAATAGAATTCTATTTATAACACTCCCTCTGAATGTCTATTCAACAGATAATGTGCCTCGTTAAAACCTTAACTAAAATAAAACCAGTGGGAAAAAAATTCTAGAGAAGGAAAAAGAGTACACGTATCTAACAATACGCCTTTTGGTTGCCTCGTTAAAAACCTTGCAAGGAAAATCCAGTGGGACAAAATCTTGTAAGGGAAAAAGAGTACAACGCGTATTAACTCCCCCTGATGAGAGCATCAATTCACATCCTTGAGCATTTGCATTCCAATCTTGTGCATCATCTTCAAAAGATCTTTGGTAGAGATTTGATGAACAAATCAGGCATATTAACTTGAATGAATATATTGCACCTTGAAATCATCATTCTTGATAGAGATGAATTGTCTTCATATGATCTTGTTGGAATCGTCAGTTCAATATCTTCATATAGAGGTGAAAACTCTTGCTATCATATTATCTGCCTATAGTTATAGCAAGATATATTTGTGCACAAATTGCACTGAGGATGTAGTACTTCATGACCATGAATTCTATATGCTTTAAGCAATTTAAATCCTTCAAGGATTTTTAAGTCATATAAGCCATATAATAGACTTCAGATGCATATCAAGTTTTCATGTCATGCTAGACATATAAGATATCGAAAAACTGATTGCATATACCATTGACTTTATACTTTCAAGTGTTTGAACTACATGTTCAAAACTACATGTCTTTCATATGAATTCAAATTATACTTGAATTGTGGCTCTTCCATTTGGCCAATATTTTTGTGTCTATATTCGATAGACTTAAGATCCTCATCTATCTTAGCGCTATGATAGATGTCGTCGACAAATATTTTATATCAGTTTCAATATATTTTCATAATGACATAACATAGAGATATCTTCATTCATATATTCAGGTACCTGAATCTCTCATGAGATTTTATGAAGTGTTATGTCATGTGATCTTCTAGATCACTTGCCTCCTTTATTATGATCATTTTGATCATTTGCTCATCTTCTTTATCAAGATGTTTATTTGAAACCGATTGTCTATACGCTTTAAGCTTACTATAGACTTTGTCCTTCTAGGACTTAATAGGAGCATTTGCAATGAGAATATAGTTACTTTCTTTGGGTCAGCAAATGCATCTGGCATGCTTTGCAATATATTGCAAATGAATTATCCTTTTATGAACTTCAAGTTCATATTATTTTATTCGAGGATCTAGATGTACAAATGATAATTCATTCCACGTAACTTTTTCTCAACTGTTTATCATGTCTCCCCCTCATGTTAGAAAAACTAACTTGTTTCCTGAACTTTAAGAACTCATCTTTGTGCATTATGGTGTTAATTAAAATATACACCGCAAATCAATTATAATAAGATGGAATTATCTGGTTCCTGACCCTGAACCACTTGTGAGGGGAGAATGTAATATACTTTCGTATATAACCTATATCAAACTGATATAGATAACTTTGTTCTCATAAGCAATAGTTTAGCTATTAAGTGGAGGCACTCAATAAATCATTTTGCTAAACCAACTGTGATGTAAGCCAACTTATCAAGATAAACTATCTTGAATAGGAAATCTGGAAATTATGCTCGAAATTAAATTATTGAGCAAGTTACCTCGCAAAATACCATGTTGCGGGTTATTAATAATCGCACATGTAACCATCTCATAGATGCATCTTATGTGGTATACATGGCTGGTGAATGGGCACATATTCACCTTTGATATTTCCAGCATTCATGGGATTCAATCCCAATTTTAATTGGTATATTAATTAATGAGAACAGGCAACATAATAGAATTCGTAAAGAACTTTCTAGTTCTTTAATATTTACCCATGTGAATTCTCTTTTATTTTTGCACATCATACTTAAATTGATATGGGTAAACCAATTATGCCAACTGAATAAATTATCAATATTGATAAACTTCAGGTTACACCATGATGTGTGCAATTATGAATAAACTCCAAGTTTATTATGATATGGGTTTTTATATCAATAAACTTCTCTTTATTGTGGTATTCTTTTATTTGTATAGTACAAATTGGAGAATAAAGCGGGTAGCTTTTCACATACATATTACCCCGCTACAAGTTGTAGTAATAGAAGATATTAAATCTTTCCTTTATTTATAGTCTCAATATAATCAACCGCCTTCGCATATACTTTGGAAACTGAATAAGTTTCTTTGAGACTTATTTCAACACAATACCTTATATTAATTGTGTTTCTCCAAAATAGTATAATTGGCTCTTGCAGAGTTCTCAATTAATTTTGTAATACCACATATTCATCAACACCCATATGGTGAATATCTCTTTTAAAGACAAAGTTATACCATTATGGTTATGGTCAAAATTATATGCAAGATCTGTTTCTTGCATTACCGTTGTCTTTTAACAATCACAATGCCAAAATATTTTGGCGTACAATAGGTACGTGACCAATGACCATTCATGCCATAATAATGACATTATTTTCTTATATCATCTCAAACCTCCTTTTAGAGGTGAGTGCGGTATATTCACTACCACTAGCACATTCATATTCTTTGAAGAATGAATATGTATTTATAAATCAGATGTTGTCACATTCACATCATGAATGGACCATAATCATCTATATGTGCTTTACAAAATCTCATGTCAAATCGATGACAAATATTACTTTCACAGAGTGAAAGATTATTTTGAGAATCCTTATTGTTCTCATTACCACAAGACGATTATAATTTCGTCTATTGCCACGTCCATATCCATTGATACATTCATAGTAATAATTTTGTCTTCTTTCAGACTTATCACATACTACTATCACATTCTCTTAAGGGAATGAGAATGGAGCAAATTCAATGGGACGGGTTTTCAATTCTTTGCCCACAATCATACATGAATTTGGTCATGGCGAGGCATAGAAATTTTACCACTTCAGGTGGTTATAATTTCTTACAAACTCCATTAGAGTTATAATCAAACTTTGTTGTCTTTGCTTGTATTTAAAATTAAAGTATAGAATAAAAGAGAAAAATACGGTAAAATACTTACCTTAAATCCAGAATTTAATCATGAAGGAAGTTCTTGGAATAATTGACGATCATTATGCTCAATCCCAAAGCTTCAACTCAATTGGTTAGAGTCTCGTGCTGATAACGTGTTATAAAATAATAAAAGAAGAAGAACACTATTGTAGAGAAAAGTAGAGAGAGAGAATTCTTATTGAATTTTGAGATGATTTACAATGGAATAGAACCCTCTATTTATAGGGAGAGGTTGACTTAGCCACCAAGTAATAAACCCTAGAATCTCTCTAAATATGGACATTCACCATAAATAGGATTCTATTTATAACATGAATCAATTTTTTTTGTATAAATTGCACGTGGCGTCCTATTTGGTCGCCCCATTTAACCTATATCCATAATTTTAAAATTATTTAACCTATACCCTAATTTTTACAACTTCAGACCCCTCCTTCTTCTTGCTACCTGTGCGCTCCTTTCTTCCTCCTTTCTTTTCTGAAAACACAGACAAAAAAAGGAGAAACTGAAAACAGGTCCAAGAATGGAATCAAAACTACAAGAATTTCAGTTACTGATCACCATGAACAGGGCAACTTGGTACTCCATAATTTTAGCACTGCTACTAAATATTAATGTTGTATTATACTTGAATTGGATTCCTGATAAAACAAAGCAAATACTAAGAGATGAAGCTGAAAATGAGCCACTTCCATGGCTGTCCAGAAGCATCGTTACCTTAACGATCAAATATCTGAATTTCTGTATCGCCAAAATGTTGTACAAAACTTCAGCTTATTTAGTGTTGAAGTTTTTACAAATGAACTAAATAACTTCAGCATCTTCTGCTGAAGTTTTTGAAAAAGCTTTACGACAAAACTATTGAATCCAGGACAAAACTTCAGCTTATTTAGTGCTGAAGTTTTTACAAATTGAACTAAATAACTTTAGCATCTTCTGCTGAAGTTTTTGAAAAAGCTTTATGACAAAACTAATGAATCCAGGACAAAACGTCAGCTTGTTTAGTGCTGAAGTTTTACAAATGAACAAAATAACTTCAGCATCTTCTGCTGAAGCTTTTGAAAAAAGCCTGGACAAAACTTCCGCTAAACAATGCTGAAGTTCAGCAAATAGAGAACAAAACTTCAGCTAGTAGAATGCTTAAGTTCAGCAATTACAAACAACTTCAGGCCCGTCTACTAGAATGCTGAAGTTTGCGTGATTGCCTTTGCTACTTCAGGCATGTATGTCTGAAGTTTACGCGAAAAGTGGGTACACTTGCAATTTTTTTTGCAAAGCGGGTATAAGTTAAAACGTGACCCAAAAAGCGGGTATAGATGCTGTATTGGGTGATACCCTTTTTTTTGCTTGAGCCCGACCGGGTTGGGTCCGGTCCGGGGCAAGTCGGGGCCATCGAACCCGACCTGGATGCAAGGTAGAACGACGGCCACGTCTACAACCGAGGTCGAGTCATTTCGAGGCCGTTGCAGAGCTCGATATGAGTCACCACCGGATGGAGAAACACACAAGGTCGGAAGCCGGACTCGTAACGGATAACCAAGCGTCGCCGGATATCTCGCCCAAACGTGATTTTCTCAACCACTTCAGGCCAT